GTCATGTCCGTGAGGCCCGCAAATACTTTGTATTGTTGTTGACAGGGAGCGCGGGGGTGTCAGCATATCCCCTGCCGTGCGCAAGGCTACCATACCTGGCAACCAATGATTCCCACATGCACCTGGCTGCTAAATCTGGATCATACGCGGCCATCTCGCGATCATTGCCAAATGGTTTTTGACAGGAACGGCGGGGTTGCCAGCATATTCCCTGCCGTGCGCAGAGCTACAATCCCTGACAAACAAGCAATACAACATGCACCTCGCGGCTAAATCTGGATCATGCGAGGCCATCCCGCGATCACTGTCAAGTGGTTTTTGACAGGGACGGCGTGGGTGGTGGCGCGTGGCCTGCTGTGCGCGGGCCCAGCAGACACCATGACGGGCATTGGTTTTCGACAAGGATGGCGGGGGCCGACATGTTTCCCGATTGGTGCTGTCACGTGCGCAGGCGCACCCGACGCACTCTGCACGTGCCCCGAACATGGCGCACCTGGCGCGGCTGGAGTGTGCGGCACACCTGGCGCACGTGGAGCACGTGGCGCATCTGGCGCACCAGGAGGGCCTGGCACCCTCGGGCGCCAGGGGTGCCTGGCGCGCGTGGCGCCCATGGCACGCGTGGCGCACCTCGTCCAAGCGTCGCGCACCTGGGGTCGGCGTTGTCCCCCTGTAGCTGCCCATCCTAAGACGACGGCTGAACATGCTCAGGCTCGGGTATTACTTATGTGTTGGGAGGACGGGTGGGAGTGAGCTAGACGGCTTGCGGGCGGGTGGGTAGCTTGACCACTGTTCCATATTAGTATACCCCCCCTCCCCCAGGCGACCGGGGACCAACCAGGCACCATGCTGACACCATGATTTCCCGCCCCCCACCGTCCATGTCAAAATACCATACAAGCCGCACTTTGCCTCCACATTTGGAGCATGCGCCGCCAATCCGATGCGCCCCCCCCCCCGCACCATCCCTGTCAAAAAACAATGCAAAATACACGGTGGGGCAAAGTCTTGAGTCATGCCCGTGAGGCCCGAGAGCACTTCGTATTGTTTGTGACAAGGACGGCGGGGGGTCAGCATATTCCATGCCGTGCGCAGATTTACCATCCCTGACAAAAAAAAAAAAACCAGACAACATGCACCTCGCGGCTAAATCTGGATCATGCACGGCCATCCCGCGATCACTGTCAAGTGGTGTTTGACAGGGACGGCGTGGGTGGTGGCGCGTGGCCTGCTGTGCACGGGCCCAGCAGACACCATGATGGGCATCGGTTTTCGACAAGGATGGCGGGGGCCGACATGTTTCCCGATGGGTGCTGTCACGTGCGCAGGCACACCCGACGCACTCTGCACGTGCCCCGAACATGGCGCACCTGGCGCGGCTGGAGTGTGCGGCACACCTGGCGCACGTGGAGCACGTGGCGCATCTGGCGCACCAGGAGGGCCTGGCACCCTCGGGCGCCAGGGGTGCTTGGCGCGCGTGGCGCCCCTGGCACGCGTGGCGCACCTCGCCCAAGCGTCGCGCACCTGGGGTCGGCTTTGGTTCCCTGTAGCTGCCCATCCTAAGACGACGGCTGAGCATGCTCATGCTCGGGTGTTACTTATGTGTCGGGAGGACGGGTTGGAGTGAGCTAGACGGCTTGCGGGCGGGTGGGTGTCTTGACCCCTCTCACTGCTCCCTCCCCTGGGTCTGGGAGGGGGGGGGATCGGGTAGTTAAGTTTCAAGATTGGCCCCAGATGGATCCAATATGGCCCTCGTCAGCCCAAGGCGGCCTCCAAGATGGCTCAAAATAGTCGAGCATTGTTCAACATTGCCTCCTGCATACCTCGAAGAGGCCCCAAGACAGTCCCACGACGGTTCCAAGTACCCGTCGAGCCTTCCTTGGCACCATCCAGGGGGCCAAACAATTTTCAACCTGAGGAAGTATACGGCCGGAGCAAGGACACAAGAACATCTAGCAAGAACATGAGACCCTCCGCGGGCCAAAGTACCCCAAACCATAAGGACGTCGAGGATGCCCTTCCGAGGTGTCCCCGACCTTCACTTCCGAGCCAAGGCCGAACCGTGACTTCGGGACCGAAGAACATGGAGGGTCCCGCCCCCGCCGCGGACGCTCGTAGCCGAATCGTGAGCCCCGAACCCCAGCTTTGTCAGAACGAAGGAACAATGGCGCCAAACTGAAGAACATGGAGGATACCCTCCCCCAGGGTTCACAAGAACATGGAACAAAAACGAAAAACATAAGGGTACCCTCCCCGAACCACCGAAGTTCTTAAGCCTTGTGCCGGCCGTATATTGTTTGCCTTCTCGCTTTGTCGCTTCCGATGGGCCTTTGAGGCCTCAAGATGGCCCCAAGATGGTCCAGGAGTCCAGGAGAGCCCCAAGGGGGGCTCAAGAGAGCCCCAAGACGGCCCCGAGAGCGCCCAGGAGACGCCCAAGAGCGGCCCGGGAGAGCCCCAAGATGCCATTCTGAGTCTCCGAGTGGTGGACCTGATTTGCCCGCACCCCCCTCCACCCTCTAGTCATGAGGGCCAAGAGGCCTCTTAGACTTCTCCAATGATCCCCAAGAAGGCCCGAGATCCCAAAACGAGCCCCAAGAGGGCCCCAAGAGTGCCCCAGGAGGCCCCACGAGAACCCTATTCCTTCCCCTCCCCCTCCCTCGGCCTGACCCTCCTCTCCGCATCCTCCTCTTAAGACGAAGCCAGAACGAAGATAACATCGGGTGAGAATGAATCCGGGATCTCTGAGACCTGGCGGCTCTGGAAGATGTCCAGGGCACCGCGGCCTTCTCAGAGCGTTCCGGAACACTTCGAGAGCGTTCCAGAGCGCTCTGGCACGGATTTATCCTCGTCCTAGCCCGCCCCGCCCGACCTTTTCCTCCCCAAGAGATGGAACTGTCCAGGGGTCGGGGGGCTCCCCGGCGAGTTCACTGCTTTCACGGCTCGGTACTGTTTAGAACAACTGCGGAGAGGAGGGGTGGCAGCATGCAATACATGTCAAATCGTCCTGAACCCCCATCCCTCTCCGCCTCTCGATCATCACGATTCTAGTCCGAGACGTAGGCCCACGGAGCTCTACATCCTGCACCCCTCCTAGGGTCGATTTTTCAGAGTGAACATACTCACTATGAAACTTAAGGGACCCACGAACCCGGTAAGACACTTAAGTCAAACAGCATGACTGCACGCATGTGATACCATGACGTGGCATACGTCGATACTTCAATATATGCAAAGTATGCTTTGCTGCGTGTTCTTGCGTGGCACCTCAACTTCGCATCAGGCGTCCTTGTAATACTCGTCATCATATTGGGGCCTCCAAGAATTTCCTGGTACTGGTGTCTGGGGACGATCAAGATTTGGAGCATCCTCCTCTTCCTCCTCGTCCTCCCTCATCCTAATGACTCTTTTTCTCCCTCCTCCCTCCTCCCTCCTCTTCATTGCTCTTTTGTTTTCTTCTTATTCTTGTTATTCCTCCTCTCTCTCCCTCCTCCCTCCTCCCTCATTCTCCTCCTCCACCTGCTTCGCCCTCTTCCTCCTCCTCCTCCTCCTCCTCCTCCATCCCTGTTCTTACAAATAACTCGTCCCTTTCGCACCCCGAGGCTGGTCGAAAGGGCGGGACGGGCGTTTCGCCTGAGACTTCCTCACCACTCATGATACTGAGGCTAAACATTTCAACGGCTTCACAGATGGAGAGCAGGCTGCTTTCAACATGTGGCGCCCCCCCTATCGCCACGCGCACTCGTCTTAAATATTTAGGAAAAGCTTCGCGGATGGAGGACCGTGTATTTTCATGCTGGGTCTCTCGCCTCAGCGCCGGGCACATTCGTCTTAAACAATTGTAAGACTTTCACGGATGCGAGACGGGCCGTTTTCAAAATGGGGCTCTCGTCTAAGCGCCGCGCACGTTCGTCTTAGACGATTGCAAGGGTCTCACGGATGGAACGGCAGGTCGTTGCCAAAATGTGGTTCTCCCTAGCGCCGCGTTCCTTCCTTTCAATAGCTTGCAGGAGCTTCACGTATGGAAGGCGGGTCGTTTTCAAAATGTGGCTCTCGCGTCAGCGCCACGCACATTCGTCTCAAAAGTTTGCAACAGTTTCAGGGATTCTCATGGCTGACGTACCAGACATGGTGTGTTGACACGACGTCGAAAAGTCAGGGCTCAACAATCATGATGATTCGCGGTGTTGATCCCAGGAACGGCATAGGAACGTCAAAAAGCAACAGTAACAGCGATTCGCGGCGTTGAAGTCCCAGGAATGGTGTTCTGGCACAGTGATCCTGACGATTCGGGAGTTGCCGAACGCCAGAATCATTCGGGATAACTCCGGTCCGGGGTAGCTCCAATTTAGGCCCCCAAAGCCCGAACCAGCAAATACCCCTGACCACCCCCCACCCCGATGATTCGGGAATGGCAGGACGCTTCAATCATCCGGAATAACTCCGGACCGGGGCAGCTTCAGTTTGGGCCCCCGCGGCACAGATCGGTAGTTAACCCTGACCGCCCCTAGCCCTGATGCATTGTGGATCTGACCCCCCTTTGGCCATCGTTGACACTCATCTCCCGACGAGTCCTCCCTTCTCTTCCTCCTCCTTTTCCTCCTCCTCCTCCTCCTCCTCCCCATCCTCTTCCTCCTCCTCCACCTCCTCCTCCTCCTGGGGAAACCAAGCAATACCGATATATCCGCTACTCCCAGGCCTTCCCGGGGGGCCTGGCGACAGAGCCCTCTCAGGAGGCCCAGAAAAAAGAAGTACGAGGGGGGGCAGCGGTATGGCTACCACTCATTCCTCCCAGACATCTGGCGTCTCGATTCTTGAGACACGGGCCCCCAATCTCTCAACCAACCTCCTGGGACCAATTTTTCATCCCGAAGCGTTTTTGTCGGTCCCGGAGCCCGGTAAAGGCCCCAGAGGCCGCAAACGATGAAAAACCTCCGTCTCGACTTTTTGGCAACGCCCGATGTCTGGGCTCTGACCTCTGGCCATCGTTGCCCTGGGGCGCGCACGCCGTCCGCCGCGGCGGCCACGCCCAGCGGGCACGTGCCTGGCAGCGCGCCGCCGCCAGCCTGCGGCGGCGCGTCGCCGGCGGAGGCCCCTCCAGCCACCTGCAGTAGCGGCTCGGGGGAGAGCAGCGGGGGAGCGAGGAGGAGGAAAGGGGGGGTGGCGGGAAAGAGGAGGAGGAGGAGGAAGAGGAGGAAGAGGAGGAGAAAGAGGAGGAGGCGGAGGAGGAGGAGGAGGACGAGGAGGAGGAGGAGGAGAGGAGGAGGAGGAGGAGAGGGAGGAGGGGGAGGAGGAGGAGGAGGAGGAGGGGGAGGGAGGAGGAGGAGGAGGAGGAGGAGGAGGAGGAGGAGGAGGAGGAGGAGGAGGAGGAGGAGGAGGAGGGAGGAGGAGGAGGAGGAGGAGGAGGAGGGGAGGAGGAAGGAAGGAGGAGGAGGAAGAGAAGAGGAGGAGGAGGAAGAGGAGGAGAAAAAAGGAGGAGGAGGAGGAGGAGAGGGAAGGAGGAGGAGGGGAGGAGGAGGAGGAGGAGGAGGGGAGAGGAGGAGGAGGAGGAGGAGGAGGAGGAGGAGGAAGAGGGAGGAGAAGGAAGGGGAGGAGGTGGAGGAGGAGGAAGAGGGAGGAGGAGGGGGAGGAGGAAAAGGAGGAGGATTTGGGGTTATGCCCCATCACCGTCGGAAAAAGAAGTACTGCAAATCACGCGCTCGCTCTTGGCACGCTACACGCGCCGGCAGGTTCGAGAAAGCAGGTCGTCAACGTGCACTAAAGTCAAATTGTCCATCGCGTCGTGGAGATGAACGGATGGAAACACGGAGAACGTGGTGGTGGTGGTGGTGGTGGTGGTGGTGGTGGTGGTGGTGGTGGTGGTGGCAGTCCCAAAAAACGGGGCCCGCCGTCCTCTCTGAGACATTGCAATGTGGCACGGGTGCCCGAATCACCTTGTCCCCACTCAACGTACCCGTCATCGTTTCTCCTCCACTCCTGGCGGCCCCCGCGCAAGCAAAATCCACTCGATCTTCTGGGGCCCATAGAACCTCGCGAACTGATGCTCCCGCATCGACTGCCCGTAAAAACTGTATGAAAACAACACTGCTTCTCCTGATCTTTCTGCTCTCTCACGGCGCGTGCCTTTCAATTCCATGCATTGCATGGCCTGAGATCGCGTCAGAGTTTTCAAATTTATTTTTGTGGCGAGCGCCCCCCCGCATGTTTAAAGCCGTCTCCAGGTCAGAATGTCAATGTCATGAATGCGGCTATCCCTCTTGATGCGTTTTACTTGACTATGCACAGCTCCTGCATAATCCTCGCCGCGTTCTCCTGGGAGCCTCGGCCGCCGAAGTCGTCGAGCACACTTTTTGTCTGAGCTACACTTAATGCTAATCTTGGTCCAGCACACAAATGACATATAACACAACACCGCAGACATGAGGACTGCATGGCCTCGTGAACGACTGCGGATCTCGAAGCCCACGTGATCGCACACGATATTAGCAATACGTTCCCGTTTCCAAAATCCGCCGTCGCGGCGCGAATCCGCGCCCCGACGTCCGGGCGCAGCTGGCCCGTCGCATTCGTCCGCGCGCCCGCGATCGCGAGGTGCCGCTCGCAAGGCGCACTGGGTACTCCGGGCCGCATCCGTCACAGCGGCTTCTTCTGGCGCGCGCTTTGGCCAGGGGCTCGGTGCGATCAGCGGGGGGGGGGGGCCGCCCGGACAACAGCGATCGCGCCTGACATTGTTTCCTGATGATGCTGGCTTCCTCGATGGTCTTGACCGAGACGAAGGCGCCATCGCTCCGCGCGGCGACCGGGGCGCGCTTGGCGCCGCAGGTCTTGCGCCGTTTTTCATTGCGCGGGGGGCGGCCGTGCCCGACAATGCAATGCCCGGGCGGTCGCCCACGCAATCCCCCCGCCGAGCTGGTCATTGATCGACCAAGCCCGGCCGCGTTCAGTCCTGGCCGCGTCGCCCGGCGCGCGCATTGCGTCGCGCCGATCCCAGGTGCTCCAGGAATCAAGCTGCAGCGTCTGGGCACGGCGCGACGCTGCACGCTCTGACGCGCTCGAAAAGGACGCGCGCAGTCAAAAGCCGCGGCGGCATCCGCCGACGCGCGCCTCGCATGCACTCTTGGGCCGACAACATCAACCTGGAAACCATGCGCGCAACAGAGCGCCCTTCGCGACATGCATGCCGCGCCGGGGCGCCGCGCCCGCGACCTCGCCCCTTGCCGCGTCGAAAACGGTTCGCGGCATCGAGAAACTACCATCTCCTTCGTTACAAGCGCCAAATCACAAAAAGTCTTCTGCGCGTCCATCAGTCGATGAGGTTCGCGCATCGGCGCGCCTGGAAGACACGGTCGCTTCCTCGCGGCTGCACGCGCCGACTCTCGAGCAAACGAGGCAGGCGCGATGGCGCAAATTCACCGCGAAGATCATGCACTTTCCCTTGTTAGATAATCCAGATGGGACTCGCCGCCTCGGCGCCAGCCTCGGGCAGCTCCGCGCGGGTAGGCACGGTTGGCCAGTCGCCTCCAGCCGCGGGAACGCTGGGGCCGCGCGGGGCACGTCGGCGCTAAAGGCAAAGAGAGGTGGGTGAGCACGGCCGACAGGCATCAGTAGCTACAACGGCCAATCTATCAGCCTCCCGATTGCAACGCCGACGGGCACGTCAAAGCCGGGCCCGACAAAGCGGGGCAATGCGCGATAACGCTGCCAAACGGCATCAATCACCAAATGCGATAATCAGCGACATCTCGGTCACTTGTTACATGCATCAAACTGGGTCGGGGTCTCCCGATCACGGAGCCATGCGCTACGTGCCCATTATTGCACACGCCAGCAAGCTGGAGCAATAGCACTAGCGGGCCGCGGCATTCAGCATCAAAAGATCAAGAAACCCCCAACATTAGCGGATAAAAAGCGGAAGACAACGTGGCCCAACGGGCCAGGGCGTGCTAAGATCTCCGGTACCTGGTTAACAGTATTTCTAGTTCGCGCGCGCGGGGCGGCCCCTGGGGGTCCCCGGACGAAAAGTACCCCGGCAAGGTCCCGGCAAGTCCCTGGCAAGGTCCCGGCAAGGTCGGGCCAGAGATGCCGGAGTTCTGTTTCGGAGTCCAAGAGGGCTCCAGATCGGTCCAAGAGGGCCCCGAGAAGCTTTCTAGACGGTCCAAGAGAGGCCCGAGACGGCCAAAGATCGCCCGAAGACGCCCCAGATGGCCCCAAGACAGCCCAAGAGGCCTCCAAGACGCTCCAAGGGCCTTCCAAGAGGCCTCCGAAGAGGGCCCCAAGTTGCCAAAATCGTTGATTTTCATTGTTTTTTTTTATGTTTTTTTGCGTTCTGGCCTTTTCGCTTCCGGACGCTCCAAGAGGGCCCAAGAGGCCTTCAAGACTGCTCCAAGACGGCCCACGAGGCTCCCAAGACGGCCCCGGAGCGGCCCAAGAGCGCCCCCCAGACGGCCCAAGTGCTGCCCAAGGCGGACCAAGAGGCCCCAAGACGGGCCCAAGAGGGGCTCAAGAAGGGAACCGAGAACTGAAAAATCGAGCCCTCCGCCCCAGAAGGCGCCCAGGACCCCGAAAGAGGCCCCAAGAGACTCTCCAAGACACCCCCAAGACGCCCCAATAAGCTCCCGTGAGGCCCCAAGAGGACCAACAACGTCAGGCCCCAGGCCCCAAGAGGACCAACAAATACCGCCAAGAGCCCGCCGAAAGCCCCCCAAGAGACCGTCACGAGAGCTCAGGAGGCCCCCTGGAGGCCTCCCGAGTTCTCCAAGAGGCCTAAAAAGAGACGCCAAGAGGCCCCAAACGGCCCCACCGAGGCTCCAAGAGGCCACGAACGCGCAAGCAAACGCCTGCGATGGCACAATACGGGCCGGCGGAATGAGCGAAGCGATTAATAAGCGGAAGACAACGTGACAATGTCAGTACCATCGGAGGCGCAGTGTACGCACCCACGCCCAGCATTGAAATTAAGCATCCTGGCGCCGTCGAATTGGCCCGCCCAAGCTCCCCCCGTGGCTTCCACTCCAATAGCCCCGTCGTCGATTATCTAAAGCATGCTTCTCATGCGTTTTATTCCCATTCGCAGGTGAAGCTTGTCGCAGTGTTCCAACCACCAAATTTAAAATGTAAATTCTTGTGCGGTTTCCGGTCAGGGTACTCTTGAGGAGGTGATCGATGGCGAACGGGTTGCCGGGCTGGTAGGACGGGTGGACCCAGCAAGGAAGTTTCGCGCGCGTCGGCCCAGCTTCCGGAAGCTGCTTCGCGCAGAGAACTGCTGACCTTTCTCGGCGACGATGGACGGGGCGGCGACGGGCTCGTCGTCTCTTCCAGGGTCGCACAATGCGACGCGGCCCGCAGCGGCAGCGCGTTCGCCCCCCGCGAGGTTTCCCCAGAGCCGCATGAGAAGAAGCGTGGCTCAACCGCCGCTAGCGCTGTCTCACCACCCACGCTTCGCTCGCCGCCTGGATCTTCGTGGCCCAGGAAGACGATCGACGCCAATCGCGCGCAAGTAGGCGCCGTTGTCGCACGTCGACGCACGCAGAAGCGCGCGCACTCCTCGCCAATGGTAGCTGAGATCTAATCCATGCGCAGGCGGCTACGCATGGCGCCCGGCCCGGTCTCAACGTACTTCTCGGGCCGTGAAATGCCCAACCCAATGCGTTTTGTTTTTGCGCGCCGCACTCGGTCGCGAGCGCAGCCCAACGTTAAATAAGATATCCCGCGTTTTGTGACCGCGCGCGCGGAATCAACAATGCGCGCGCGACACATTCGAGATACGAAGGATCTGGACAGCGCGAAGCCGCCGATGGCGCTGCCGGCGCTGGAGGGCAAAAAGGTCGCCTCCTGATTCCTCACTCCGCAATCCTCCTCACTCCTCGCTCCTCGCTCCTCACCCCTCACTCCCCCCTCACTCCTCCTCCTCCTCCTCCTCTCCTCCTCCTCCTCCTCCTCCTCCTCCTCCTCCTCCTCCTCCCACTCCCCCTCCCCCTGCTCCCCCTCCTCCTCACTGCTCACTCCTCACTCCTGCCTCCTCCTCCCTCTCCGCCTCCTCCTCGCCCCTCCTGCTCCTCCTCGGGCCTCCAGCGCGTGCAGCAGGTACCTCAGCTTCAGCGCCTGGCGCTCGGGCAGGCGACCAGGGCCCTCCTCGGGCGGCAGAGGGCGTGGATGGGGCGACGTGCCTCCCGTCGGCGCCCTCGCGGCCCAGGGGGCACTGGGCGCACGGGCGCCACGCCTGCCCGAGGTGTGGGCGCCTACAGTCAACCCGCAGGGCAAGGATGGGCGACCTTCCCAAGGGTACCCTCGCATCCTTGCCTCTTCGGTCTGACCACTCTCGTTGGCCGCCCCCTGCTCAAAAAGCTTCGAAGTGGGCGTCCAAAGGCCTTGCATCCTTATCGCGCATCCTTACTCTACGGGTTGACTGTACAGCCATCGTGTTGCAAGAAGGAGCGCCAGAGAAGGACGGAAAGGGCTTCTCTGGCCACGGCGACTCTCTGCCACGAACGGATTCCCCGACCTGGGTTCCAGGGGCAACCCGAAAACCAGAGCCCCATGCCCAAAGTAGTCCTTGTTTCAACGCCTTGACTGTGTGGCAAGTTCACGTCCCGATGACGTCGGCTCTGGAGCTTTTGACACAGAGTGGATCGTCCAACCTTGTAACGATTCTGGACTACTGGTTGTCGCCTGTCACCCAAAACAAGCCGATTGAGGACAACGGCAGCTCAAAATCTGCCCCGGGATCTGTCACGGGATCCAAAAGGCGACGATGGAGCCTTCCGAAGGGCAACTGCCGTCATCTCCACTTGCCCTCCTCTGCCCTGGGCGATCTTCGCCGCCGAGCGCCCCCGAAGGCTGCCGAGGGCCCTTCAGCTTTGAGCGCCCGTGCCCGCGCCGCCGCCGAACACCGAGACTCGGCGGGCCCGCGGCAGACTCCCTGCCGTGTGACGACGCCGGCCCTGGCGCGCTTCGCGCCACGCGGGCCGAGGCTGGAGCGCGGACCGCCGAGCCTCTCCTGGGCCCTGTGCCGAGCTCTGACCGCTCGGGCCTCGCCTGGAGCGTCAGCTGCCCGCCTCCCACTGAGATCCCCAGAGGCAGCCGAGAGTCCTCTGACCTGCACCTGAGGAGCGGTGGCGGGATGGGCCCGCGGCCACTATTTACAGACAGACAGACAGACGGACAGACAGACAGGCAGGCAGAAGGGCGGGCGGGCGGGCGGGCGGGCGGGCGGGCGGGCGGGCAGGCAGGCAGGCACACATATGCGTACATACAGATGTATATTTATAAAGTTGTATACACGTATGTGCATATATAAGTAGGTATATAAAAAATATGCACGCAGATGCATATGCATGTTGACCTGTATACACACATATATATATACCTGTATGCCTAAATGTATGCTTAACTCTATGCACATCTATATACATGTGTATATATAAGTATATGTGTGTACAGAAATATAAACATGTATATAGATAGATGTGTGCATGCATGCACACATGCCCACATGTGTACATGTATATGCATCTGTCCATATATACACATACATGTGGGCATTTGTGATTAATCGGTGGCGCTGGGCGCTGGCTGAGCGTGTGCAGGCCAGTCGGACACGCCCGCGCTCGCCAGGAGAGGCCCACAGCGTCTTCTCGTTCGGGGGGGGGGGGCAGCGGAACCGCCGCCGCCCGGACCGCTCGCCCGACGTCATCCAGCCCTCCCTGCCCGGGCACACGCCGACATGGATCAGGGATCTGTGGATTTGGCGCACAGTCGCCAGATCCACGGATCGGGAAGTCCCCAGCAACGCGTCGCGCTCCTGATGTTCGTGCCGCCGGGCCTGGGTTCACAGCAGGAGGAGGATGAGGAGGAGCAGGAGCAGGAGGAGGAGGAGGAGGAGAAGCAGGAGCAGGAGGAGGAGGAGGGCGGAGGATGAGGAGGAGGAGGAGGAGGAGGAGGAGGAGGAGGACACCCCCCTGCGAGCCACGGCAAGTGTGGCTCCGAGAACACCAGGGTTGGGCGGGCGGGCCACAAGGCTCGAGCACAGCATTCCTGTAGCCCTGATGGCCACAGGTGCTATGATCCCGCATGTCTCCTGTGAAACTCACCCCTCCAAAGCATGCAAGCGCAAGCGCAGCAAAGCTCAGCCCTCCCCAGCGAGAGACTACAGGCGAAGCGAATCTCGACCCTCACGCACAAAGTACAACTCGTGCTGCTTTCAAGTCTGCGTGCAACTCGCGCTGTCTACACCCTGCCTGGCTGAGGTGCGAAGCGATAGAAACAACAATTAATCTGACAAATCTGCACACGCTCACGCTGTCCAGCTGCGCGTGCGCCGGCTCGGTAGCGCACGCTCTCGGTGCGCTCCCTGTACGTGCCACGTTGCTAATGCGCGCGCCAGCATGCTTCTCCCCCAGCCATGAGGCCAATGCCGCCGAATTTGGCGGCGGAAAGCGCCGAGTCTGTATGGAAGTGGGGTCCATCGCGATCCATGTCTACGCTTCCTTGGCCGACGTCCTCCTCCAGCTCCCCCTTCTCCGTTCTCTCTCCCTCCTGAGGGGTAGCGACAGGGGGGGACTGCCATAGGGGAGATGCATCGACCCGGAACCGGCGATGCATCGCCGATAGATGCATACCCGATAGATCGGCGATGCATCGCCGATAGACCGGCGATGCATCGCCGATAGATCGGCGGTAGTGAATCCGCACTCCGGGCAGGCCGGGGCCATCGGGCCCCTGTCGGCGATCAACGGGCGAATGGGGCCGGTGCGCCCCCCTACGCCCATCCCCCTTTGTCGCTGCCCCCGATCCCTCTGTGCTCCTCGTCCTCCTCGTCCTCCGCCTCCTCCTCTTCGTCCTCGTCCTCGTCCTCCTCCCTCTGCCCTCCTCCCTCGTCCTCGTCCTCCCTCCGTGCCCCTCGTCCTCCTCGTCCTCCTCCTGCTCCTCCTGCTCCTTGTGCTCCCTCGTCCTCCTGCCTCTGCCCCAGTCCCGGGCCTCGCGGGGCGGGTCGATCCTCGATGGCCCCCAGCAGCAGCCTGGCCTCCTCGAGGACCTGCCCCGGGGAGGGTGGGGGAAGGAGGAGGAGCAGGAGGAGGAGGAGGAGGAGGAGGAGGAGGAGGACGGGGAGGAGGAGCAGGAGGAGGAGGACGGGGAGGAGGAGGAGAGGAGGAGGAGGAGGAGGAGGAGGAGGAGGAGGAGGAGGAGGAGGAGGAAAAGGAGGAGGAGGAGGCGGAGGAGGAGGATGAGCAGGAGGAGGAGGAGGGCGTGGGCCGTGGGCATGCGCGGGCCCAGCAGTCCTCAAGGCCCCATGGGATCGCACGTCGTCAGACCTCGACACGGGCCACAATCCTGCCCGCATCGCGCGCCCCGCGGCGGGCGACGCGCGACTGTCTTCGCGCCCTCGCTCCGCGGGAGGTCGGGGAATCTTTACGTAGATTCTAGGTTTCTTCCAGGACGTCTCGGAAGGCTCTACAGGGTTCCGCGGGGAGTGTAGAAAGCGGGAAGAGAAGGAGCGAGGAACCCAAGGAGCCTCAGGTTCCGGAGGTTCTTTGATGCGTCAGAGGGTTCCAGGAGGCGTCATGGGTGTGGAATCATGCGGGGGTCTTGTCCCACGCCCTTGCGCAGGCGAAGGAGGAGGCAACTTCTTTGTTGCGGGCCGCAGGAAGTGCACGACTGCGAAACCTGAAGCGACGCGAATCTGGACGTCTGTCACGGCGGGGGGGTGCGACAGCGCGCCTGCTGCACGCAGCGACATCGCTGCGGAGCAAACAGGAATAGCAAACTCTCAGGCCTGCGCACAACGCACAAGCCTCCGGCTCCGAAGGGCGCGGCCTCTTCGAGAGATTGCGCAGACGCCCTTTACGCCGTGGCGACGGCAGGAAGGCCCAGAATCGAATAGATGCCGGATCGGCTATCGGAAGGCATCGGATTGGCGGGAGTCGGCAGCCAAGTCGGGAGACGTCGACTCGGCGGAAATCGGCAGGCTAGTTTGAGAAGCCGAAATCAACATCGGGATCCGAAGTCGAGTCGAATCGGAATCGGGGTCGATCGATATCGACTCGGATCGAGTCTGAAGAATCGACATGATCCAAGCGATGCCGCCGTCTGGGGTATCCTCCTCCGCCTCCCTCGCCTCCACGAGTCTTTGCTCGTCGGCGCACAACGTCGCCAGACGGTCCAAGAGGCCCCCAAGAGGCCCGCAATAGGGCCCGAGAGGTCCCCAAGACAGCCCAAGGAACCCCCAAGACGGACCCAAGACGGCCCCAGAAATCTCCAAGACCGCACTAGAGCGGGCCCCAAGACGGCCCCCCTAAAGGCTCCCAGGAGGCCTCAAGAGGCCTCCTCTTCTCTCTCCTCCTTCTCCTCCCTCTCCTCCTCCTCCTCCTCCTCCTCCTCCTCCTCCTCCTCCTCCTCCAGATCCTCCTCCTCCTCCTCCACCTCCTCCTCCTCCTCATCATCCTTTCTCTTCCTCCCCCCAGTGTTCCCCCGAGGGGTTCCAAAACGGCTGCGGGAGCATGGGGGAACACATAATTAGTCCAATAGCTGGGCCAAGCTTCGGCCAAACGTTTGGCCGCATGGGCGTTTCCAAAAGGCAGGAGGCGACGGTGATTCGCCGTAGGCGTCTTAGATACACCTCGAGGAAAGGGTGCGACATTCGGGCGCGCGTGCCGTGCATCGCGCAAGCGGAGTATACATCGAGTCCAAAACTGGAATAGATCGCTCCGGGCTCCAGAACGCTCCGTAACGCTCGGGATCGGTCGCGGTGCCCGAGACATCCTCCAGAGCCTCCGGATCTCAGGGATCCCCTATCTGTCTTCACCCGATCTTATCCTCGTCCGGGCTTCGTCTTTCTGGGGGGGCCGAGAAATGGCGGGGGCTCGAGGGCTGCAGGACAGGTGCCCGACGAAGAGGCCCGAAGGGGGCCGCCTCTGGGGGCTCCCGCAGGTGCACGGCGACAGGTGCACGCTTTTCTTCCGCCCCCCCGGTGTGCCGGAGCACGCCGACGACGACGATGGCGATTTCCGGGGATCGACCAGAACCTCCTTTCGCAGAACGTGGTCTCGGGAAAACGGCCTCGGGCCCAGACCTTGCGGGCGCAAGCCTGGAACATGACGGCCGCGGCACCCTCTCGAGCAACGACAGCGGACAATTCACTAATCGACGTGTCATGGGACGCACAGAGGCATACAAATACTATGTGCCCCCGTTGGAGGCGCGCGTCCGACCCGAACATATAGTATACCTATCTTGTAGTACATCGTTCCCCGAGCTGTTTGGCCAGAAAGCGTCCGCCACGACGCATCTACTATAAGATTTCCCGGTGTGCGCGTCGTCCGCACATGTAGTATTAAGTCGGGCGTGTCCCCCTACAGAGGGATTTTCGAGTAAAATGACAAATACCCCAAGAATGCCCCAAAATTGTTAGAAAATGCTAAAAAATAATCCCCAGACTATTGTTGGACAATTTTTTGCACATGTTTGGGGTAGTTTGTTGTTTTTCGTCGGAAATCCCCCTGTAGGGGGACAGGCCCGACTTGAATGTAGTATAAGTATGTTGGGGTGGCGCCGATGTCAGGGAGGGGGTTCTGTCCGCCCCCGAAAGCTATCCCAAGCCGCTGCTGCCCCGCCCCTGCCTTCGACTGGCCAAGGGCAGCCGTGCTCGCACCTGGCGCCCTCGCGCGAGGCGCGGAGCTTCGCGCGCAGCCTCGCGCGTTCCCTCGCGCCGCCCCCCCCGTCACCCCCCCTCGGGGGAGAGAAGAGGAGGGCGAGGAGGGCAAGGTTAGGTCGGACATGTCCTCCTACAAGCGGAGCTTGAACGAAGAATTGACTAGCAGCCAGCGCTGACGACTCCAAACAGATAGGAGGACAGGAGGAGGACGAGAGGAGGATGGGAGGAGGACGAAAGGAGGGCGGGAGCAGGACGGGAGGAGGACGGGAGGAGCAAAATCAAGCAAGCGCAAGCAAGCAAGCGGAAGCAAGCAAGCGCAAGCAAGAAATAACAAGCAAGCAAGAGCCAGCGATCAAGTGCAAGCAAGCAAGGGCAAGCACAAGCAAGCACGCGAGAGCAAGCACGCAAGAGCAAACAAGCAAGTGCAAGTGAGTGTGTGATGCGATGCTGGTGAGGAGGAATGCATAGGAACCCATAGGAATCCATAGGATTCGCCATTGGAAATAGCTGGGGGATGTCATTGGAAATAAGGGGGAGTGCCATTGGCAAAAGGGGGGGAGGGGGGCCATTGGAAATAAGGAGGGTGCCATTGTGAAATAGGGGGTCCTAAAGACCAATTACTTATGATGAGCTAAGGCTCCTATAGGGCAAGCCTTTTTGGAGAAAATGAACAAACAATGCTTACACATTCTGGAAAACAGCGGAACCCCGACTATGTTGTGCTATGTTTGAAAAATCCTCCTGTAGAGGGGCATGCCCGACTTAAGGTTAAGGATGAATGGGCCAAGGGACACGCAAATACATATACACAAGCCCCAGGAATCCCAGCATGTTCCATTTTCCCTGGACGTTCGTTTTCCTACCACTTCCCATCTGTTCCGTCTTACCCTGGGAATCGACGATTGTGTGTTTGTGTTTTTCCCCTCCTGAGAGGAGGGTCAGGCAGGCTGTGAAGCCGCGAACCGCAGATAAACTTCGCGCCCTCACGGCGGCCCTAGATTCGGTGATCGAGGTTCGGGGCTTTTGAGCGATTCCCGCCCTCTTTTGCCTCCAGCGTGTCTTCTTGCCGCGACGGTCGTGTCCTCCTCAGCGTTGCAGTCGGAACGCAACCAACAAGGGTTCCAAGGGTGTAACTTCGACGGGCGGTCTTCGTCGTCGACGTCGTCGGCGTCGTCTCCAGAAGAGGGGATGGAGAAGAGGCGAGGCGGGAGCGAGAAGGATACCGCGGGTTCGTGTCGTATCGACCCCGGATAGTTTCTGACACCGCGGGGATCGTTCAGCCTTGAACGATCGGCCAACTCCGAGACGTCAGATCGTTCGATTTACACCCCTTCTGGGTTGCTGGCGGCGCGGCGGGGTCACCGCCAGTCACCACCGCAGGGGGCCCAGGAAACGGCAGGGCAGTTTTTTCACCGCTGTCGAAAAAGCGTCTCTTGAAAATGGAAACGGTAAAAAAACGGCGACTGAAGACACCCCAAAAACGGCTGCGGGATTGAAACCGGGACTGGAACGGGAAAAATCAAAACAAAACAAACAACACAAAAAAACGACGGAACGGGCAACAAGAACAACGACGGGGCCGGCAAGCAGACGGCGAAACGGAAGCCGCAAACAAAAACGGCCCTGTCGTCTGCAGGGCACACTGAGGCCGACCCGACGCGGACCTGCCGCAACGACGTGGGAGGCTCGGGGCAGCGGCGGGCGGCGAGCGGCGGCGGCGGGCGTCCGCGGCGGGAGGCCTCCGCCGCCCAGAGCTGCACCGCCCGCCGCTGGCGAGACCACTCCAGCTGCGCGGGGCGGGGCGGGGCACGCGTGCGACGCGGAAGGGGCGCCCCGATGGCCGTCGCCGGGTGGACGCTGCGCAGTGGGGGCGTCGTCGTCGTCGTCGTCGTGCACCTGCGGGAGCCCCGAGAGGAGGCCCCCTTCGGGGCCTCTCGTCGGGCACCTGTCCTGAAGCCCTCCCCCCTCCCCCATGTCTCGCCCCCCCCCCACTGCGAAGCGCCAGAGCCCCGGGGTGCCTGGGGGGGAGGGCTCCGAGACTCCCCAGCCGCAGGTCGCGGGGTGATCGTGAGGGAGGGGCGCGGCGGCGATCGCCGGCGGTGCGCGGGGGGGGGCCGATCGCCGATCGCGAGCCAGGGGAGGGGGCGCCAAGCGGCGCCGTGAGCAGCGGGAGGGGGGGTAGGGAAGGCGCCGTCGTCATCGGGGTAGGGCGGAGGGGGAAAAGTCGGCCTGGCCTGCGGCAAGGCCCGCAGCCGGTGCGCCGTGGGGTCCGAGAGGAGAGGCGGGGCCAAACGGCGGCGGCGGTGACGAAGACAAAGACGAACGGCGGCGCGGACGACGGACGACTCGAAGACGACGACGACGACGACGACGACGACGACGACGACGACGACGACGACGACGACGACGACGACGGGCAGCAGTGGGGGAGCAGGAGGAGGAGGAGGAGGAGGGGGAGCAGGAGGAAGCGGAGGAGCAGAACGAGGATGAAGAGGAGGGGGAAGAGGAGGGGGGAGGGGGAGGATGAGGAGAAGGGAGACATGGGGAGGAACATGACGAGGAGAAAACTCTGTGGCCTCCATCGGCCAGACGAAAGGCCTTCGTTGACCGACCGTTGATAAGCCGCACAGTTCAGTGACCTTCACTGACCGACCGAGGAGGAGCGATCGGAGGTGGAGGGGGAAGAGGAACAGAAGGATGAGGAGGAAGATCGGAGAAAATGGGGGGAGGAGGGGGGGGATGGATAGATACATGGCACGCTCATCGGGACGGTGGCTGAACCCGCACTTGGAAGCTAGAGAGACTACCATGGTCTGTTCCGAACGCCCGAGGCGAGGAGCAGGAGAAGGATGGGGCGGAGGAGGGGGGAGGAAGGGGAGAAGCGGGATGATGATGATGATGATGATGATGATGATGATGATGATGATGATGATGATGATGCTGATGATGATGATGATGCCGATGCTGATGCTGATGCTGATGCTGATGCTGATGCTGATGCTGATGCTGATGCTGATGATGATGATGATGATAATGATGATGATGATGATGATGATGATGATAATGATGATGATGATGATGATGATGATGATGATGATGATGATGATGATGATGATGATCGATGATCGAGGTTCGAAGATCGAGATTCACGGATGCGTTCGAGTTGTTCCGACTTCGGGAACCTTCCGTCTGGGGGAGGAGGAGGGGAAGAGAAACGGAGACATCGTCAAGAACAGCGCAGCAGGGCGACCTGACACCGACGCAGTCACGCAGATTGCCTAAAACAAACTGTGCTGAGCACGCCGGGCCATTCACCAGCGTGGCAGCGCGGGCTCCCGGATCTCTTATTCCGACGACGGGACGGGCCGACAAAGAAACGCGGGCAAGTCGAGGGACAAGAGCAGGCAGGACAGCGAGGAGCGGAGGAGCGAGAAAGGGAGGGGGAGGGAGGGAAGCAGGGACGAATGGCAGGTGGAGGACGAAACGCGGACGATGAGATCTCGAATAATCCTGCACTTGTTCGGAAGCTCTGAGGTGGTTTTCCCGCATTTCGCAAAAGTCCAAGAAGGTCTCTTGCTCATCCTAAGCATCATCATCATCAGCAGCAGCAACAACAGCATCCACCACGAGCCGAAGCAGCAACATCGTCATGATTGTCGTCGTGGGCGGCGTCGTCATCAGCAGCATCAGCATCATCAGACCATCAGCATAATCAGACTCATCATTGTCATCCTAAGCATCACCATCTCCATCCTCATCCTCATCCTCATCATCACCATCATCATCAAAACCATAACCACCACCACCATCACCATCAATATCACCAGCATCATCATCATCAGCAGCAGCATCATCATCATCAGAATCATCGTCATCATCTTCATCATCACCAGCATCCACATCCGCACCATCATCACCATCACCATTATCAAGATGATCCCATCATCATCAGCATCATCATCAGTGTCATCATGATCGTCATCAGTATCATCATCATCAGCATCATCATCATCAGCAACATCATCTTTACCAGCAGCATCATCAGCATCATCATCACCATCACTAGCATCTTCGTCACCATCGTCACCGCCATCGTCATCATCATCATCATCAGCATCATCATCAGCATCATCATCATCACTATCATTATCGACATCACCATCATCGACATAGTCATCGTCATCTTCATCGTCATCGTCATCGTCATCGCCATTGGTATCTTCATCGGCATCTACGTCGGCGTCGTCATCACCACCACCACCACCATCGTCAACATCATCCTACCAAGGCCTCGTCCACAACCTCATGCTTGAAAACAGGTTTCCTCTTTATCCACCTCACATTAATTGTCCTGGTTACTCAGCGCCCCCTCCCTGCCCCTCCTCCTCCTCTTCCTCCTTCTCCTCCTGCCCCTCCCCCTCCCCCTCCCCCTCCTGGCGCGCGGCCGATACCTCCCCCTACCCCTCCTCCTCCTCCTCCTCCTCCTCCTCCTCCTCCTCCTCCTCCCCCTCCTCCTCCACCTCCACCTCCTCTTCCTCCTCCTCCTCCTCGCACATGATTCGGAACCTCCTCCTCCTCCGCCTCCTCGCCCCTTGTTCCGCCTCCATATTCTGCTTGCTCCTCGTAGTCCTCCTAGTAGCTAGCACCTTCTCTGTGACACATCCTCCTCCTTGTCCTCATCCTCCTCCTTCTCCTTCTCAGTCACCATCCCTCCAACCTCATGCCCTTCCCTACGCATGCCTCTCCTCCTCCTGCTCTTCCTGATCTAGCTCGACCCCCCTCCCGTTGGGCGACCATCCGATTTTGACGCGACAGCGAGCCAGCCGAAGCAACATTTCCCGGGGACGAGAACTCGCGCAATCCTCCTATAAACCAATCGTGCCAACCCTTTGGCCAGTCCGTCCATGCCTAAAAGAAGGAGGACGAGGCCGAGGAGGGTAGGATGATGCGAAGGAGGAGCGAGGACGAGATGGGATAGAATCAGAGGGGGGCAGGGAGGGGGGCAGGATCAGGAGGAGGGGGAGGAGCAGGGAGGAGGGAGAGGGGAGATGAGGAAGAAGGGAGGGAGGGAGGGAGGGAAGAAGGAAGGAGGAGAGGGAAAGGAGGAGGAGAGGAGAAGGGGGAGGAGACTTCAACCGGCGGGCGCTCACGCGCCTTCGGCGGTGGCAAGAGAAAGAGGAGGAGGAGGAAGGAGGAGGAGGAGGAGGAAGAGAAGGAGCGAACTGGCTACGGAGGGAAGGTTCCAGAACCACCACCTACACAATCAGAGCAGACGTGTAGCTCTGTGCACATTGCAGCAGCAACTAAGAGGAGGAGGAGGAGGAGGAGGAGGAGGAGGAGAAGGACCAGAGTAAACTCAAGATGGATCAACAATGCTGCAATACAAAAAGGATATGTCGACCCCAATCCCAGGCTTTGGGAGGTCTTGAAGGGACCAGAAATTTGGGGCCCGACGCTGAGATATACGATGGGGGGCGTCCATCCTCTTCTGAGCGGCCAAACCTGTCGGGCGGAACTCGGGGATTAGGAGAGAACGATCGCCTGCGAATACACCCTCCAGTCCCAAGTCCTGAGTTCACTCCTCAAGAGGTCCTGCAAGCGTCCCTTTTCACGTCAGGGGGATCCCCTGGAAAAGGAACGGCATTGCACCCTTTTGGCGAATACAGCGAATACGAATTGAAAGAAAGTAATCCAACGAAGTGTCCTGCGAGAAGCCCGTACTGAAAGGGAACCGCTCCCCCTCCCCTTCTTTGTAACTGATGTACATGTTTGCTGTTTCTGGTCATGGGAGCTGAGAAGGTTTGATGCGAGAGCCCCAGTTTGAACAGGAGTCGCCCTCTGCATGTGCAGATGTTGGAACTGGCACAGCATGTCTGGCCGTCAGAGTCGAGGAATTGTGAATCGAGAGCCCCATCATAAATGAACCGCCCTCCATGCATGTACCTATTACATTTGTACATCTGCGCACGTTTACGCATTTGGCAACGGTTTCGCAATCGTTGCAGAGACGTCTCAAGCGAACACCACAATTAAGCAAACGATGCCATCCATCCATGTAACCGTTGCGAGCGCGAAGCGGATGGGCGCAACGCGAAAACAAGAACCTACATTGATCAAGTACTGGCCTTCATCCGTGTAACGTCTGAAACAAAGGACAGTACTTGTCCAGCGAAAATATTGTGCCGATCTACATATCTGGTGGTGCCACAGGGAAGAATTCATTTGAAGGATACGGGATGGAGAGAGGAAGGAACCTTGGGAGAAGGAGCAGGAGGGAGGAGGAGATAGCTTTGGGTGAGCAGGATCAGGTGGAGGAGGACAACAAGGCTTCTGGCAACACTCAATCCCCAGACTCCTCCTGAAAACTGTCCTGGCCACTATCCACTCGTTCGAACTAATCCAGCCGTGGCCACGAGAACCACCAGACATGCCCATAAGAACCCCAAAAACGACAACGGCGGCGGCGGCGGCCACGACCTCCGCCCTCTGAAGGGCCCCCTTTCGACCAACGTTGTCGCCGTCGTTGTCGCCGTCGTTGTCGCCATCGCCGTCGTTGTCACCGTCGTCGCCGCCGCCATCCCGAGTTGAGACAACGGCAGCTCGAAATCAGTCCGCGGACCCCTTCTGGGCCCAGCGTCAAACTGTGGCGACGAGAGACCCCCCGAAAGCCAACTACCGTTGTATCAACCGGCACCCCTCTGGCAAAAGGCACCCACGAGCCCCTCACGCCCCTGGGATACCCTCAGTGAGCTCCCGGGTCCCACGAGCTCCACCCCTGCATGTTCATTTATCCCACACCCTCAGCGGAGGGGAGGTGCACATGCATGACCCCTCGAGGCCATGGCCCTCTTCCGTAGCACTTCCACAACACACCCAAACGCCGTTAACTCATCGCCGCTGTCGTCGACGTCGACGCGACCAGCGCGCGGCCTGCGCCATCCCGTGCGGAAACAGCGCTTCAGTGCCACGTTGCTGCCACTTCCCCGCGCGCGCTGTCCGAGCATCCCTGCACCAGGTGCCCACCTGGGCGGCGCCAAGCGCGCCGCTCGCAGGCCTCCGTTGCCACCGCGAGCTGAGGCCCACCCCCCTGCATCGCCGCCGTCGTCGGCGTCGGCGCGACCGACGCGCGCGAGCGCGGGCCTGCAGCAGCGTCTCCGGCCTGCCCCTGCCGCCGAGGTCGGGCTGCGCGTCGGGGCGGGGGCCGCTGGGCGCCTTGGGCGGGGATACAGGGCCCAGAAACTGTCACCGCTACTACTTCCCTCATCCCCCTCCTTCTCCCAGGGAAGGGGAGAGGGAGAGGAGCGTGGAGGAGGGAGGGGGGAATGGATGTGGTGATATTCTTGGGGCCCGCAGGGGAGGAGGGGGGGGGGCGCGGAGGGCGAGAGGGTGGAGCGGTGAGGTGGTGAGCCGCAGTCCTTCAGTCAGCCCGCATAGTAAGGATGGGCAACCTTCCCAAGGGTGCCCTCGCATCCTTGCCACTTCGGCCCATCCCTATAACGACTCTGGCTGGCCAGCGTCGCTCGAAAGACGTGAACGGGGGCCTCCAAGCCCCTTGCATCCTTACCGCGCATCCTTAGGATACGGGTCGACTGTATCGGGGTCGCCCGGAGAAGGAGGAGGAGGAGGAGGAGGAGGAGGAGGAGGAGGAGGAGGGGGAGGAGGGGGGGAGGAAGAGGGGGAGGGGTAGAGGAGGAGGAGGGGGGAGGAGGAGGAGGAGGAGGAGGAGGAGGAGGAGGAGGAGGAGGAGGGAGGAGGGAGGAGGATGAGGACGAGGAGGAGGAGGAGGAGGAGGAGGAGGAGGAGGAGGAGGCGGAGGAGCAGGTTCATTCATTCACGCGTGCAGAGCTGCGATGAACTGTGAACCATGGGACGCAGGAGGACATAGTAGTGGTATGCGCCCCCCTTGGGGAGCGCGCGTCCCAGCCGAACACGTATTACCAACATCCTGGCATCTCGCTGCCCAGGCGGCATGGCCAGAACGCGCCCGCCGCCGAGCATATACGATCAGATTTCGCAGCGCCCCTCGTCGCACCTGGGGTGCAGACGGGCACATAGCACAAGTTTGCGCGGGCAATGCCGAAACCACACTCCAGGGCGCGAGCAACACGTCGTTTTGGCGGCGCGCAGGGAGGGGGGGGAGGAGGGGGGAAGGCTTCTCAGCACGCCGCCCCGCCGCCCCGCCCCGCCGACGGCCCGCGCGCTGAGCTTGGGGGAGTGGGTCCCCGACCGAGCCCCCTTCGGCGGGACGGTCATTCTTTTGGGGGAGTAGAGCGTGGCTTTGGGCTGGCTAGCTGCCCTCGGAAGTTCGCATGCAGCGCGCACGCGCTTCACAGCGGCACGCGGTGCCCTTGAGCGCCCTACTCCCGAGATGTTTTGGGCCTTCCTCCCCGCGCCCAGTTGCGAGGTTGCCGACGAAGTTCGAGGCACCTGCGGCGCGCCGCCGTTGTCGTTTTCCCTCGCCCTGCCTCCCCATATCAGGTTTTCGACGAGGTTGAGGCGCCTCTTGCGTAGCCAGGCTTCTCTCTGGTTGTTGTGCGTTCGTTCTTTTTCCTCCTCCCTCTGGGGCGTGCCCCGCTGTCCTGCTGCAGGCGTTGGGTTGGGCCTGTCGCTCTGTGGGGAGAGATCGTGGCTTGGCGTCGCGCATGCGCGGCGACTCGGTCGAATCGCGCTGGTCCGAGTTCGACGGGAGCACGCGCCCCGGGGGCAACGGGCTCCTAGTGCAGAAATCCCGGCGGTGCTTCCCTTTGCTTTTCTTGCTTCTCTGTTTCGCGCTTCCTCCCCTCCCTTTCACGCGCATGGCTTGACCTGATGTGGACATGGTGACTACGACTGCGGTGGAAACTACTGATCTTCCTCCTCTTCCCCCTCTTGAAGGCCTGATGGCAAAGCGTGTGAAGGCTGTTATGAGGCAGGGCCTGGGCCTCTCAGGGCCCCGATGGATCCCCGGGGGTTCCGCGCGGGCAAGAATTCTCATGGGCTCAAGGGCTGCGAGCTTCTGACGGATCATGCGAGCTAGGGTCTGGGTCTCTCACTGCCCCTAGGGCTTCCTGAGGGTCCCAGGCGGGTCGGAGCTCTCATGGGATCAGGGGGGGCCGAGCCTCAGACGGGCTGATGAGGAAATAAGCAGCTAGTTCGACGCTTTGAACAAGTGGCGCATGGGCCCGCCGCGACCAGCCGACGCTCGAGACCCATTTTTGTTTGCATGTACCTCTTCTCCTCGGCCTCAACCGGGTGCGCAGAGCGGTCATGTTTTATATGAAAAGCATCGCGGCATTTCAACAGCGAGACCAGTGACATTAAGCAGAAGCGTTCCCCCGATTCGAATCCGCATGATACACGCGTGGATGGGTCTCTATGTATAGGTAGCCCTTGTGTAAAAACAGAGCTCGGGGAAGCGGAGCTCCTTGGACTTAGCCATGCAGCAAGCATTGTGGTGGTGCACGAACAGAGCCCCCCACGGGAAACTTTGCACGCGACCTGTACTTTAAAGTGCGCGCGCGGGTGAGCAGCGTTCGCATAGCATCTATTAGGTAACATGTGTATGCGCACGCGCTCGGCGTTTGGAGCCCGTTTGTATACAAACTGCCCGTTGTGCGTGGATATAGGTTTCCAGAGCCCGTGTGTGTACAAGTTGTCCTCCTCTTTCTCCTCCCCCCTTTCCTCCTCGTCCTCCTCCTCCTCATCTGTCCCTTGTCCTTGTCCTCCTTGTTCTGTCTTCCGTTTCCCTTTTCCTCGTCGTCGCGGCGGCAGAGGAATAGTTGTCCTCTCATGTTCGTCAGGGTTGCTTCCCAGGAGGGCACAATGCCATTGGGGACATGTGATTCTACGCGAGGGCTACTCGTGGAGCACAACCGTAAGAGGACTGCAACGCACATGCCCGCGGTATTTCTTCAAAACAACTGGTTGGTTGAATTCAGACCACTTGTTGCTTACATGATTTTGATGAGCGTTGGAAAGCACAGTGCGCAAACTTGATTGGCGCACGCGGCGATCGGGGGATAGTTTTCCATCAGGTGTTCATCGATCGCGATGTTGTTGGTCGGCCGTTCCCACGGGTAATGTTGCAACACGGGGCTGCCCTGCACGCGGGAGCACGAGGGCTTGGAGTACATAGCAGTATCCGTTTGTTCAAGTGGTGGGTCCTTGAGTGTTTCCAGCTGACAAAATTGCGCGCAACCTTGACTGGCGCTCGCGACGAGGGGATAATAGTTTCCCTTCAGTGTCTGTCGGGCGCGATATTGCTTGTGAGTGGTTTCTCCTGGGGAATAGTGCCAGATGGTCGACAAAACGCGAGAGAGTTTTTGAACATACTCGTAAACATCGTGCAATGAAATTATGCGTGCTTCTTTTAAGCGTCAGGTGCTTGAATGCACATGAATGTTGGTTATATTACCTTGATGGACTTCATAGAGCATTGAGCGGTGCTCGGCGGCGACACACTCTAATGCTCGTCGGGCGCGATACTGGGTGTTGATTTTCTCTCCTGGGGAATACTGTAACAGGGGCTCACCCACACGCCAAATAATTGTTGGACATGGTCACACTAAGGTTGTAATACAAGCTCCATGGGTGTCCTCGGGTTTTGTTAGTGCAAATGCTGATGTAAATGTGCTCCCTTACACTTAGCACTCGGCGCCGTGGTCGTTAACGTAGTCGACGTCGTCCTCGCAATCGTAATCGTAGTCGTGGTCGCGCTGGCGAAGACGGACCTCGGGAGGGGCACGGGGGCCGAATTGGAACGCATCTCGGTCGGACGGTCCGACCTTCCAAGGCAGCCAGAACGTGCCCGCGTCTTGCGCAAAAACGAGGGCCTAGAAGCATGTGCGTCCCAAGACCCTTCCCGACCATCGGCCACCCACCCGTAAGAGTGGCCGTTCGCCAGCGTTGCCTTTGGTGCGCGGCTTTCGGGGGGCGTTTTGGGACGGGAGGGCGGGGCAAGCCCAAGCGCACAGGCCGCTGCCGAAACACCGTTATGCTGCAACGATGGGCAAGTCGCGGGCGCCAAGGCTCCCGTGTGTGTGAGGGCTTCCCCATCGCGCTGCCAGGGTCCAGCCGTCGGACTTTTTCCTTCAAGCTCCAGGGACGCTTCGCCGAAGTCACGGTGGTGACGACCACGCGTGACGACGGCGACGGCGGCGGCGGCGGCGACGGCGACGACGACGGCGCGAATTGGCGCGACGGCAGTGGGGGGAAACAAACGCGGGGTGACGCAAGGCGCCCTTTTGAGAGCCGCGGTAGCAGTCAGCGGATCCTTTGAGACCCCCCTCCAGCAACTCTCGATCGCCCCCCCCGCTTTCGGCCTACCCGCCAACGTCCCTCGCGAGCGGAGCTGTGGCGGCGACGATTCGCGTTTCTGCCTCTCCGTCTCATCGGGGCGCTCTGTCCCTCTCACACCAAAGTGGACCGTTTTGTTAAAACTCTGGCGATAGCGGCCGTTACCAAGGGAAGGGGGGAGGGGGGGGGCGAGGGGGCCGGTTCCGTCACGATTCGCGCCTGCGCGGTCTGGGAGCTCGTTGCCGCTAGCCATCCCCAAGCGGCGCCGGCGCCGAAGCGTGACGCCACCAGGCGAGGGGGGGAGGGGGGGCATCCCCGTTGACGGGCGTTTTCGCGAATCGTAGAAGAAATGCGCTCAAATTTTCTCTCCATCTCAAAGTATTGTGGAGTCTTCCCCACCGGGGGCCGTCGTTGACCTGGGATGCTCAGAAGGCTTCTGAGAAGGCGAGAGGGCTTCTCAAAAGCCTCCTCGCCTTTTGAGAAGGCCAGTCCTCTCTGCTTCCCCCCGGGGGCGCCGCCGAAAGAATGAGGAGGCATTTTGCAGGGTGGCCAGTCCCTGACGCACCGACTCCGTGACTTTCCGATTCAGCGTCGCTGAGAGATTTCAGACCGACGGTTATTCTTGGACCGTCGGTTATGTTTGACCGACGGTCAGACATTAAAACAGCCGTTTTCTGTTGCGTCCTGTCCGATGTGCCACCCTTGTCTGTCTTTTAAGTGGCTGGAGTCCCGTTTTAACCTCGCCGTCGCGGTCGCCTGCGATGGGAGGAGAATCGAGGGAAAGCTTGGGGGCAGAATAGAGAGGGGGGATGGTTGCAAAGTCAGCGACCGACGACTTCGGGAGCCTTCTGGCTGGCCCGCTCGTCTCAGGCGCCTTTCCAGATGGAGCGCTTCATTTTTGTCAGCGCAGTTGTGCGTGCATCAAAGGCGGGAATGTATACATGACCACCGCCTGGAGGATCGATTTTGGCGGGCCTCGGCAGGCGGTGGATGTGGACATATTCGGGCCCCCGGGGGCGAAAATGTATCCATGTCCACCGCCCGCCGGGGCACCATGACATCGGTCCCCAGGCGGTGGATATGGGTAACTCCCCGCCGCGCAGTGTATGAGTGGCTGTGGCAGGGCGCGAGCAAAGCGTTGTTTTTCCTATGGCTCGTTTCCCCGTTCTGTCATCGGGTGCCAGCGCGCGGCTTTGCCGTGTTGCCTTTGCTGTCGCGGGCGACGGGCTGCTTCATGAGACGGCGCCGTTTTCGTTTCCTCTTCCGTCGTTTGAAGCGCCACCGGCGTGAACGACAAGAACGATTGGCGGCACGCACAAGGGGGTAGGGGGAGGGGGGAAGGCTTCTTAAAAGGAGGCTGCTTCGTAGAAGCAGCGGGCCTTACGTTTACAGACAAGGCCCGCGCCTTCTAAGAAGCAGGGGACCCTCTCCCCGCCCGCCGGTCGTGCGAGAGCAGACCGAACACAATATCAAAACACAGGAAGGATGAACGGCAGGCAACAGAGAACAAGCGGGGGGGGGAGGGCAAGGGACAACAGAAAAAACTGGAAAAACAGCAAGAACAACAGGACCAAGGGAACCGCGGAGAGCCGCAAACCGAAGCCGAGGAGGAGACGCGAGACCGATGGTGGGCGACGGGCCGAACCGACGGCGAGACGGCGGGAGGAGAACAGCGCGGCAGAGGTAAACAAAGGAAAAGAAGGGAAGGAGAGGAAGGCAACGAACAGGGCATCCCAAAGCGCCTCTCCGCGCACGGGGAACATGGCTGACCCTGAATTGACTGAAGGGCAACGTCCCACAACGATCCAGGAACATCGAAGTCAAAACGCACCTCGGAGAACCAATCAGCCAACCTCCGAAGGCCCACGACGGTCGCAACCACTGTCAGCTACGTGCAGGCGCAGGGAACCATAATTAGGGAGGGGGACTAGGGGGCCACTGGAAAGGGGGGGCTCAAAAGAGGGGGACGGCTCTCAAAGTCTTATCAACGGGTAGCAGGGGGACGTTAGCGGAGGAGGAGGAGGAGGAGGACGAAGGGGGCGCGACGACCTGCGGCAACTAAACGCAATGTCCGAAGCGCTTCAAGAAAGTCCCCAGGGACCTGGGAGGCCGCGCGACGGGCACTATGGACGGCAAGGAATCCATCGATCAGAGCGCACCCCAACAGGTCACGTGACCTCCCTCATTTCGGCCCCAGACAAAGGAGGGTGAAACGCCAATCGGCACCAAGCAGCTGCTTAGTCCACGACGTCAGAAGTCCAACACAGGTGAAGACACCAGCGAAGCACCGTTCGAGGTTCGGGCACACGCGGTAATGCCGCGGGCCATCATCAGCAGACTCCTCCGCACATCCAATGGCGCAGCCTAACAGCGTCGTGCAAAGACGGCTAGACGCACACACTCCCCGGCAGAGACCCTTGAGGACACCCGCCACAAGGTGCATCGTGCTATCCTTCTCTATTTGTCGCTTCCTCTTGACCAATTCCTGGGAAACGCCTCAGTAAACTTTGTGTTGACTCCACAGCTGCTTCGTCGCAGGGCACATCTACAGCGGGCATGCCCAAATCGACGCGCAGGGGTTGGAAAAGTTGGATCGTCTGCGGGAGCCCAAGACAAAACCCACGGAGCCTCAGAACCATCATCCAAAACTTCGGGATTGCGTTAATCCAGCTTTTAGGTCGAGCACCAGGCCCTGGCCAGAACCCCGTATACATGACCGCACGCGCAAAACCAAAGATCTGGACACAGCTGTCCCTCAGACACAAATGATCGATAAGCTGCTCAGGCCTCAGTGCCCCTGTCACTAACACCCTACACATTGACTGGGCCTCAGTGCCCCTGTCCTAACACCCTAACACCCTGCCCCTGCCTGGGCCAACCGTCATTTCGAGAGAACGCAGCGACTGCAGAGTCGGTTGGGGGACAGTGAGGATGTTGGAGAGGCAGAAACCCGATCGTGGGCGTCGGCCCGTATCCGTGGGACGCGCCCTGCCAGCTTCACTGTCATCCATCGAAGGACTGGGTCCGGGGCGAAGGCAAAAAGTAACATCGATGCAGGGTCTCCCTGCCGAGCCCCTGCAGCAGCCACGAACTCCAGAGATGACGCCCCAGGAAAGTTAATCGCAGCAGTACTGTCTCTGTAAAGGTCCTCATAAAAGCAGCGGGTATCATCTGGGACACACATCGCCGATAGGACTGCCACGAGCCACGCAACCATCAGTGGAAACGCAGCCATGAAGTCAATGAATAGGTTCCGAGAGCGGCCCACCATCCAATCAGCACTTGGCGAATATCCCCACCATTCGATCTCAACAAGGTTGTCTAAAAGACCCCTTTCCAGGAACTCCCCCGCGCTGGATCGGGTCGATCGTGATCCGAGAGGCCCTATGCAACCTAATCGAGAAAGCATCGCTCAATATCTTCGCATGGGCGTTCGCTGAGGTCAATGGCCGGGTCTTACTGGGGCCACAACCAAGGTCAGCAATATTCTCAACTTCCTTTGGGTCGTTCGGCCGGAAACACATGCGACCCCTTCTCATGCTCGTCGAACTGGCCCTCCAGAGGCACCATAGATCTCGAAACACAACTCAAAAAGGAAATCCGCAGCCCATCCCGCCTTGCAGCGCCAACGCGGGATCCCGCCCCCCCCCCCAGGAACCTAACTGACTGTGTTTGACTCCAAAAACGAAACAATACCCAAACGCCAGACGACAGTTTCTCGCTAGATCGGCTGCGCCTGAACCAAGATCCCAGGCCAGGGAAAACGATTCTGGCCCCTGGCGCGAAAAGGCCTGCTCCCACTGGGCTTTGAGAGGAGCTGCCGACGCATCGGGGGGGAGGGATGCGTTGCCGTCAGAGTCCATGATCCCAGAGAGCCCATACCGCCTACGCATCTTAGCCCGAGCCCGCCGAAGGTACGGTAGCCGTACCTTTGTCTTGTCCTCCTCCCCCCCACCCGTCCAGAACCTGCCCTCCGCCCCGTGCCAAGAGCCCTTCAGCGCCTGAACCAGAGCCCCCAGGCCGACACCATCAGAGAAGAGTCCCTTTTCAGGCTTGAAATACCGAAGCAGCTGGTGGCGGGCCCTCATAGCCCGAATGCGCAGCGAGAAGTTGTCTGTGCGCCATCCTCTGCATGCCGCCAGGGCGAAGTGCAGACGTTCATTTTGGGGCTTAGGGGGGCCGAAGACGCAAACGACTCTAAACATCGGGGCCACATGCCAGAAGATCTCCATGACACAAGCCAGTTTGTCCCGAAGGGGTGCGACGAGGGTCGATGTCCAGGATCGCACCGCGGCAAAGCCCTCGATGCAGTTCGCGCTGGGAGGTCCATTTCAGGATCTGAGTGGGGACGGCCAGCGACCACAACCTCGAGTGCACACCCTGGGGAGTGTCCTGCGCATGACAGGAACTGTCGGAACACCAAAAACCAGCTTCGCACTGGCTGTGGCCGAGGCCAGCCAACTCGACCACAACCACAACCAGAGTGCTGATGTCGAGGTCGGCGGGTTCTCCCCCGAGATTACCAGCCTCGAACTTATCCCTATCCCTAAGATTGACACGCCAAAAGGCGATGACAATATTAGGGATGCGCCCTCAAAAAATAAGGGAATCCCTAAGATTGGCACTGTGATGAGGCGATGCCCAGCTTAGGGGTAGGGATAGGTTCCAGGCTGGTAACGAGAGGCCCTCCAGAAAATCGTCTGAATTGCGGTGGTGTTTTTTTGTTGGTGCTCGGAGGCCTGCCAAGAAGCACCCATACCGCTACTCCCCGGACCTCTCCCGCGGTGTCTTCTGACCAGGACTTCGAGGCGAATCCAGCGGCGGCGACGAGGGCATCCCAGGAGGTCCAGAAAGGTGGAAAACGGGCGAAGGGTAGCAATACTGGTACCTTTTCCTCCCCTGAGATGGACTTCACTTCACAACCCCGGCGCCGGGGGAATGCGGAGGAGGGGAATGAGTAGGAGGAGGAGGAGGAGGAGGAGGAGGAGGAGGAGGAGGAGGAGGAGGAGGGGGAGGGGGAGGGGGAGGAGGAGGGGAGGAGGGGGAGGAGGAGGAGGAGGAGGAGGAGGAGGAGGAGGAGGAGGAGGAGGAGGAGGAGGAGGATGCTGTGGATGTCGAGGCGAGGGAGCGGCGCCTCGGGCCCGGGCAGCAGCGCGGGCGCGTCGTGCAGCAGGGAGGGAGCCTCGAGGACGGAGCGCGACGCCGCCGCGGAGCCCGCGGCCGACGGGGCGTCCTGGCGGTCGCGTGCGGATTTTTGGCGGTGCGCACAAGTCGGGCGTTGGCAGAACTGGATTGAGTGGGACCTGGTTTAATAACATGTACTGGGGGACGCCCCCCCCCCGCCCCGTTCCACTAACCAGAATTGCCGCCACCCGGAAAAACACCAGCTACGGCAGACCTGGTTTAGTGATTCTGGCCCCGGGGCCCTACTACTAACCGGACTCCCTTACCTGGAGTCCTGGCTATACCCGAACAAGGGGGCGGGGGGGGGGGGAGGGCTTCTTAGGAGGAGGTTGCTTCTTAGAAGGCGCCGGCCTGACATCTACAGAGAGGGCCCGCGCCTTCTAGGAAGCAGGGGTGTTTCTAAGAAGCCCTCTCCCCTCCCCCCACCCCCCTCTGCGCGTGGCTGAGGTTTCCTCCGCCTCCCAGCTCTCGTGTGCTCCATTTTAGATTTCGGACGCCCGATTTGTTTGTTTCTTTTCGTTCTCTTTCCACCCCCCATGGCAACCCCGCTTCCCCTCACGGGGGCTATACCCGTCCACAACAGAGAACGATCGTGCTCGATCGAACGGCCGGGTTAACGACCGTGCTCGATTGCCCGAGAATGTTGGACGTCCGAAACTCGGCGTCGAGCCAGGGGGAGAGGTGAGAGGGGGCGGGCCTCCGCAGAAGGCTCGGAGGTCCCCTGGCCTTCTGAGAAGTGCTCGAAGCTTTCCTCGAAGACACAGAAAGCTTCTCAGAAGACCGGAGGGCTTCAGAGGACAGTTCGAGCCCTCGGCCCTGAGGGGCCCCCAGGAGGCCCCCAAACCCCCAAGAGGCCCCAAAGATGCCCCCAAGAGACTCCAAACAGGCTCCAGAACTGCCCCCAAGAGGCCGCCGAGAGCGCTTCGAAGAGACCCTGACCTACGCTCGGTGGCGGGACAGGCCGAAGGCCACTAGACAGTCCGTCCTGGCGGCAGACGCGGCGGGGACGCCGCCGCGGCCGCCCGGGGATTGCGGCAGCTCGAAGGATCCCCAGACATGCTCGCGATCGGAAGCTGTTGGCTGTTAACGGCCTCCAGGAGCCTTCGGCCTTCGGCGGGCCGCGGGACTGTCACAAAAAACGGCCCAGGATAAAAAGCGGGTCACGGGGAAGAGGTCCAGACCTCTGGGCAGCCATTCTGTGCGGAGCGCGCCAACGGCGGCGCCTCAGGCTCCGCCATGGGGCCCATAGAGGATTCAAGATATCCGCGCGGACCTTCGAAAGTGTATGTCCACGTAGTTGTTTGTTTGTTTGTTTTCCCATCGAGGTTCGATCTTCGGGGTTTGATTTTGATAATTTGTTCGACCTTTCTTGGGCATCGGGGAGACCCTCATCGTCGCCGCGGTTGGAGTCGCCTCGAGATCCTGGCTGGAGCGTGATTACCCCTGGACAGGCCTGGGGTCGACGTCTAACACCCGGACCCGTCCCCCCTTCGGGTCGCGAGCAAAACCACGGCGGAAGGCTTCCGGCAACTTTTGGCCTGGGCCCCCCCCCCACCAAGTCCTTGTTGTATCTTGCTGCATCTTGTCGTATATTTTGGCCTTGGCCCCCCACCAAGTCCTGCAGGGACCGCCAAAAACAGCTCAGGACGAAAAGCCGAGCTCTGGGAGAGGGGGTCCAGGACTCCGGACCCGCCTCGGATGGGGATCCCCCCTACAGTGGAGGCCAGTCCACAAGCAGCCTTCCCCAAGAAAACCAACCCTGAGACACCAGGACGTCCATTGATTTCTGGTCCCAGCAGAACCATCGAAGCCCAAGAAAGCCAGGGCACCCTGGAGGCAAGCAGGGTGTTTCGTGGCATGGGCTTCCACTGTACTTCATGGGAGGGTGGGGCGAGGTGCTGCCCTGTCCCTGCCCTTGTCAGCACGGGCTGCTGCTTGGAGGCCGTCCGTGGGCGCGTCTGCTGGGCCTCTGGAAGCCTCGGGGTGCCCCCGGTCGGGCGCCGCTCGACGGGGAGGGCAGCAACCGGGGGGGGGGGAGAAAGGTGCAGTAGGAGCTCGACCACAAGGAACCTTCCACAAGCAACGCAACCCTAGAACCCCAGAACGTCTCGCCTTCCATGGCAAAACCCGCGGAACCCAAGATATCTAGGGCCCCCTGGAGGCAAGAATGGTGTTTCTTGGAATGGGTTTCCATGAGTTTCCTCCTGCTGATCCTCCTCTTCCCTCCTCCTCCTGCTCCTCCTCCTCCTCCTGCTCCTCCTCCTCCTGCTCCTCCTGCTCCTCCTGCTCCTGCTCCTGCTCCTGCTCCTGCTCCTCCTCCTCCTCCTCCGCCTCCTCCTCCTCCTCCTCCTCCTCCTCCTCCTCCTCCTCCTCCTCCCCCATTCCTTTCCTTACAAATAACTTCTCCCTGTCGCACCCCGAGGCCAGTTTTTAGGGCGGGCCGGGCGTTTTGCCTAAGATTCCCTCATCATGTATGACCCTGAAGCTAAAACATTAGCAACAGTTTCACAGATGGAGGGCGGGTCGTTTTCAAATTGTGGCTCTCGCCTTAGCTCCGCGCACATTCGTGTTACAGACTGGCAAGAGCTTCACGGATTGAGGGCGAGTCGTTTTCAAAATGTGGCTCTTTTATTTGAGCCACGCACATTCGCTTTAAACATTGGCAATAATTTCACGGACTGAAGGCGATCCGTTTTCAAAATGTGGCTCTCAGCGTAGCTCCGCGCACATTATTCCTTTTAAACAATTGCATGAGTTTCGCGGATTGAGGGCGGCTCCTTCTCGCGTTAGCGCCGCGCGCACTCGTTCGCTTTAATTTGCCAGGGCTTCACGGATTCCCATGATCAACGTACCAGAAATTGTGGGGTTTGGACGTATTTGGGGTTCTGAGGGTGCAACAGTTATATTGATTCGCAACGTTGAAATCCCAAGGATGGCGTTCTGGCGCGACTCTGGATCGTCAAGACGCAACAATACAGTTGATCCGTGGCGTTGGAATCCGGAGAACAATGTGTTGGCATGCTTCAGGGCCTTCAAACGGTTGTTTTCCAACGAGGCAGTTCCTTCTTTGGAAATGAACCGTTGTAGGGGCCTATGAAGAGGGAGCTTGGAGGGGGGGTTATTCCAACATCGTTGATGACCCTTGGGCTTACACTGGTCGTCCTCCTCCTCCTCCTCCTCCTCCTCCTCCTCCTCTTCCTCCTCCTCCTCCTCCCCCTCCCCCTCCCCCTGCCTCCCGCTCCTCCTCCTCCTTCTCCTCCTCCTCCTCCTTCCCCCTACGTCTATGCTCAGCCTCCGGGGTGCTTCCTTGCTCATCACCCCTTCTCCTTCCCTTGCCCGTACGACGGCCCTGCAGCGCCCCAAACAAGCCTCCAAGATGGCCTCCGAATACGCCGGACGGGCCGAGAGAGCCCCACGAGGGCCCGAGAGACACCCAAGGGACCCCAGAGGCAGAGCTACGAAGAGGCCCCTCCGAGCTCCCCGGGAGGCCCGCCGGCGGCCCCACGGGGGACCTTCAAGAGGCCTCTGCCAACGGGCCACTTCGTGAGCCCAACCGACAGTCCGTGCTAATCCGCATCCTCCTCCTCCTCCTCCTCCTCCTCCTCCTCCTCCTCCTCCTCGTCTCTCTTCTCTCTTCTCTCTTCTCCTCCTCTCCTCCTCCTCTCCTCTGGGAGGAGAGGGTCCGATAGGTTGGCCAGATGTCGGCCAAACGTTTGGCCAAGTAGGCGTTTTCAAAAGGCAGAAGGCGTAGGCGTCTTCGAGAAACGAGGCGGAGGCGGTGGTTCGCGATTCGCCGTATGCATCTTCGAGAAACGGGGCTCGCACTTCACAACGGATCTGCTGGTGTCCCTTGCGCAATCCCTCGGCAACGCATCCAAGTAGATGACCGCCTCTGCCACCCCAGACTGTCTCAGGACTTCAAAAGAAAGGCCAACGGACGGCCGAGCGTCTCCGAGAGGTCTCCGAGATGGCCCCGAGAGGCCCTCAGAGGGTGCCGAGAGATCAAGACGGCCAAGTAAGGAGAGTAGTTTGCCACGGCGCCACTCTCCACGAGAACGAAAATCTCCAAAATGATTAGGATCCCAACGTTGATTGTTCTATGGCTCTGGCCGGCTGCAAAATTCTCTAGACGTTGGGGGACACAATGGCAGGCCTCAAGCCTCCCAGCTAATGAATCAAGTAATCGGCATAGCCCAGCAGCACCCTTGCCGTCGCTGACAGCAGGCCACCTGCTGGATACGACAACCTACAGATTGACGAAAAATTGGAAGCACGCGGCACAATGGACCGAAACGCGCGCTGATTGCTGCGCGCCAACCGTGCCCTCCAGTCGCGTGCCCCGTGCATCGCTCCACGAGCACCTGGTGCGCGACGGGTTTGCGAATTGTCGCGGGCGCGCTCGCACGCGCCAGCCTCTTAAGCGCTGTTCAGGGCGTCGACGCCTGGCAGGACCTTGCCCTCCAGGAGCTCCAGGCTCGCGCCTCCTCCGGTGCTGCAGTGGGTCACCTTGTCCTCGGTGTCGTACTTCTTGCACGCCGTGGCCGTGTCGCCGCCCCCGATGACGGTGATGACGCCAGCCGCGGTGGCCTGGACAACGGCGTCCATGAGCTTCTTCGTGCCAGCCTCGAACTTGGACATCTCGAACACGCCCATCGGCCCGTTCCACAGGATGGTCTTGGACGCGGCCACTGCCGCCGCGTTCATCTCGACGGACTTGGGGCCGCAGTCCAGGCCCATGAAGCCGTCAGGGATGCCGTCCTCCTTCGTGGCCGCCTTGATCTCGCCGTCCTCGCCGAACTTCGAGGAGATCACGAAGTCCACCGGCAGCACGATCTCCACGCCCAGCTTCTTGGCCTTCTCCATGATCTCAGGCACGATCTTGGCGCCATCCTCGTCGTAGAGGGAGGTGCCGATGGCCATGCCGTCGTTCACCTTCAGGAAGGTGTAGGCCATGCCGCCGCCGACGATGAGCTTGTCGACCTTGTCGAGCATGTTCATGATGAGCTGGATCTTGTCCGACACCTTGGCGCCGCCCAGGATGGCCAAGACCGGCTTGGACGGGGTGTCCAGCACCTTGGCAAAGGCGTCCAGCTCCTTGGCCATCAGGAACCCGGAGCACTTGACGTCGAACCCCTCCCCGACCATGGAGCTGTGGGCCCTGTGCGCGGTCCCGAAGGCATCGTTGCAGTAGATGTCCGCCAGCTTGCGGATGGAGGCGCGGAACTCTGCCACCTTGCCCTTGTCGGCCTTGACCTTGTTGCCCTCGGCGTCGACGCCCTTGCCCTCCTCCTCGACGTGGAAGCGCAGGTTCTCCAGCAGGATCACGGACCCGCTCGCCGGCTCGGCGCACGCCGCCTCGACCTCTGAGCCGCAGCAGTCCTTCAGGAACGTGACCGGCTTGCCGAGCTTCTCCCCCAGGATCTTCGCCACCGGCGCCAGCGAGAACTTCTCCACCACGCAGCCGTCGGGGCGCCCCAAGTGCGAGGCAAGGACGACCGACTTCGCCCCCTTCTCGAGGGCGTACTTGATCGTGGGGAGCGCGCCGTCGATGCGCTGAGTGTTGGTGATCTTCGTCGGGTCCGCCTTGTCCTGGGGCACGTTGAAGTCGACGCGCATGAAGACGCGCTTGCCGCTCACGTCGACATTCTCGATCTTGAGCTTCGCGGGCATGGTGCGTGTGCAGTCCAGACCGCGAGCCGACACGAGCGCGCTGGGCACGGAGGCGGCCGAAAACGATTGAGCCAAAACGGCTTCGCACACACGGAGGGAGCATGCGCACGGCGCGCGCTGGGTGAGCCTGCTGCGCCGCGGTGTGGCCGTGCTCTCTTGGGGGGATTGGAAGCCGCATCGCGGCTTCAGCGTCTAGGTTTCGATGCGCAGACCTGTAGGCCGTGGCACTTTGCGAAGTGTGTTGGGCCACCCTCGACCAAGACGCACACCCCCCTTCCCCCTGCGCGTGGACAAACCAGAGCAGCCATCTCACCTCTGCGCGTCTCTGGCATTGGTCATTGCGAGCGACAGCTCGGGCGGCGCCAGTGCGGCTCGGCTCTGGGAGGGGGGCCCTGGCGCCCGGATGCGGCCAGAGATTCGAGGCGAGAGCGCGAGTCCCTGCCTTGGCATGTGTCCCGCGCTGAGACGAGAGGGCACGATTCTGATGAAAACGCTCGATCTCCACTCTGTGTCCGCGCGGATCCGTCGGCTGAGGTTGGCTGGGCCTCTGACTCCCAGCCTTAATGGGCCCTGGAAACGACAGGGCCATTTTTTTACCGGTTCCGTTTTGCTGTTTTTTTTGACAGCTCCGACGCCAATTTTTACCGCTTCCGTCGCTGTTTTTTGACCGGCTCCGGCTCCAATCCTGAAGCCGTTTCTGCTGCCGCTTCCGGTCGCCTTTTTTGGCCGCTTCCACGTTCAAGGGGCACTTTTTCGGAAACGGTGAAAAAACGGCCCTGCTGTTTCTGGGGCCCACTAAGCTTAAGTCGGGCCTGTCCCCCTGCAGGGGGATTTTCGATGAGAAATAAAAAGTACCCCCACAATAGTCCAAAAATAATGTAGGAACTATTTCTTGAGCATTTTTTCACATTTTGGGATATTTGTGGGGTACTCTTATTTTTCGTCGACAATCCCCCTGTAGGGGGCCAGGCCCGACCTAACACTAAGCTCCCAGCTGCTCTGCATCCGCAGGGTCGCCGCTTCTCCGCGCGGCGGGCGGAGCGCTCGGAGACAACCACTGCGCGCAGGCACCCGGCGAGGTGCGGCCTGCACCTGCGGGGCAGGCCCGTGCCTCGGCAACCGTGGGCCTTGGCCTCTGACATCCAGCGCGTGTCGCCGAAGCTCGGACGATCCCTGCTGCCCTGGGGGGCCACGGACGGGAGGCTGCCGAGCCGAGCCCATGCATCCCACAGACTTCGCGCCGTGGGTTGCCGCCTGTGGGCCCCCCTGGGGGTCGAGTGGCCTCGAGGGGGGAGGGTCCGAAGACCCCGAGAAGAGGGCCGAACACCTCATTCCCGAGGCGGCGCTTCAGCGTCTAGGGCTTCGGCGGCCCTGCCGAACTACGACACGATCACGTCGTGGTCACGGCGGCGCTGGCTTCTGACTCCGCGGGGGGCGCCCAACCCCCGACGACCGCAGCTTTCAGATATCTCAGACCCTCGGATGCCACCCAATTCCGAACAACCTCGAACGCCCTCGCCGGGGTCGACGCCGCACCACCGCGGCTCGAAGCCACCGTGCTGAGATATACGAGCTTCTCCTGAAGGGAGGCAATGAGGGTAGAAACACGTCCACGGGGCCTCCCCCAAGGCGGAGCCCACATTTTCATCCCGAGTCCCTTCTGGGGTCCTGGGAAGTGCCCTGGAGACATGGATATCTGAGACATCTTCCAGGACCCCTCGGGAAAGATCCGACGCTGCAAACTGAGTTCCAGCGTCGTCAGAGACCGCGTCTGAGGCCCTTCTATCTAATAATCTTATGCAGAACTTCTGGCTCTTCTACTGGAGGGGCCCACGGCGCATAACAATACGCCCGAGTGGCAGCCTGGGCGCCCTTGCCGCCCCGGGTTGCCTCAGGCTTCCGACAGAGGGGCCAAGGGACGGCCGCGTGTCTCCGCTTCGACAGGGCTCCGAGAGGGCCCCGAGAGAGGCCTTCCGAAGGCGCCACAAAACCGAACCGGCCCAAGGAGAGCAGCAGCTTGCCGAAGGCGCCACAGCTCACGAGGGCGACAACTGTGCGAATCGGGGGCCACGAAGGGCTCAATTCTAGATACCCCTCATGCATGCCCTGCCCCACACTCTACTGTGGCATGTGCATACGCAAATGATCTGCTGTCTCGGGCCCCTGGGACACGTGAAACACGAGTGATCTCCCCATGGACACCCAGCATGCCGTCCGACCCCCACGGGACGCCAACATGGTCCCAAGAAACAAGGCAGCGATTGATACCGACACTCGCCGAGGCAATATCCTTGATGACTTCCCCCTGGGGTCCCGCCGTGACTCCCGCTCTGCGGGTTCAAGAAGCATTGTAGCGTGCCTACGGCGCCACTCCTCACGGAAACACGAACCGTGCGAAACTGATTGGGATCCCCACGCAGTATTTTCTGTGGCCCCAGCAGGCCGCAAAATTGTCTCGAAGGCAGGCCTTCAGCCAATCAGGCCATCGGCATAGACCAGCAGCGCCCTTGCCGTCGCTGACGGCAGGCCACCTGCTGGACACGACAACCCACGGAGTGACGGAAAATTGGAACCACGCGGCACGATGGGCGCGAAACGCGCGCTGCTTGCTGCGCGCCAGCCTCTCTGGAACGACACGCTGAGTGTCCCGCCTCCGAGCGGGGCGAGCTCACCGATCTCGATCTGGTCCAGCTCGCCGTGCCCTCCAGTCGCGTGCCCCGTGCATCGCTCCACGAGCACCTGGTGCGCGACGGGCTTGCGAATTGTCGCGGGCGCGCTCGCACGCGCCAGCCTCTTAAGCGCTGTTCAGGGCGTCGACGCCTGGCAGGACCTTGCCCTCCAGGAGCTCCAGGCTCGCGCCTCCTCCGGTGCTGCAGTGGGTCACCTTGTCCTCGGTGTCGTACTTCTTGCACGCCGTGGCCGTGTCGCCGCCCCCGATGACGGTGATGACGCCAGCCGCGGTGGCCTGGACAACGGCGTCCATGAGCTTCTTCGTGCCAGCCTCGAACTTGGACATCTCGAACACGCCCATCGGCCCGTTCCACAGGATGGTCTTGGACGCGGCCACTGCCGCCGCGTTCATCTCGACGGACTTGGGGCCGCAGTCCAGGCCCATGAAGCCGTCAGGGATGCCGTCCTCCTTCGTGGCCGCCTTGATCTCGCCGTCCTCGCCGAACTTCGAGGAGATCACGAAGTCCACCGGCAGCACGATCTCCACGCCCAGCTTCTTGGCCTTCTCCATGATCTCAGGCACGATCTTGGCGCCATCCTCGTCGTAGAGGGAGGTGCCGATGGCCATGCCGTCGTTCACCTTCAGGAAGGTGTAGGCCATGCCGCCGCCGACGATGAGCTTGTCGACCTTGTCGAGCATGTTCATGATGAGCTGGATCTTGTCCGACACCTTGGCGCCGCCCAGGATGGCCAAGACCGGCTTGGACGGGGTGTCCAGCACCTTGGCAAAGGCGTCCAGCTCCTTGGCCATCAGGAACCCGGAGCACTTGACGTCGAACCCCTCCCCGACCATGGAGCTGTGGGCCCTGTGCGCGGTCCCGAAGGCATCGTTGCAGTAGATGTCCGCCAGCTTGCGGATGGAGGCGCGGAACTCTGCCACCTTGCCCTTGTCGGCCTTGACCTTGTTGCCCTCGGCGTCGACGCCCTTGCCCTCCTCCTCGACGTGGAAGCGCAGGTTCTCCAGCAGGATCACGGACCCGCTCGCCGGCTCGGCGCACGCCGCCTCGACCTCTGAGCCGCAGCAGTCCTTCAGGAACGTGACTGGCTTGCCGAGCTTCTCCCCCAGGATCTTCGCCACCGGCGCCAGCGAGAACTTCTCCACCACGCAGCCGTCGGGGCGCCCCAAGTGCGAGGCAAGGACGACCGACTTCGCCCCCTTCTCGAGGGCGTACTTGATCGTGGGGAGCGCGCCGTCGATGCGCTGAGTGTTGGTGATCTTCGTCGGGTCCGCCTTGTCCTGGGGCACGTTGAAGTCGACGCGCATGAAGACGCGCTTGCCGCTCACGTCGACATTCTCGATCTTGAGCTTCGCGGGCATGGTGCGTGTGCAGTCCTGACCCGCGAGCCGACACGAGCGC